CTCTCACACTTACTATCCCACATAAAGGCAACTATCTCTTCCTGGTCAATCCAATCAAAGGTAATGCTATCTTAGAAATTTCCTCAATAAATCTCCAATAACAAAGAACTAACCCAAGAAAACTCCTAACCTCATTAATAGACTTTTGGTATCTCCCACTTAAGCACAACTTCTACCTTAGGTAGATCTACGTTATACCTCCGCTAGAAATTACAGGGCCTAGAAAACTCACCTCATACAATCAAAAATCACACTTAGATAACTTAACGTAAAGCTGTCTTGGATATATTTTCACCCTCAACTCCAATATGATATCACATCCTAAGGTCAATCTCACTAAACACACAAACATTCACTAATTGATCCCTAAGGTCATCTATCCACATATCAACATACATGCATATCAAATCATATTAGAATACCTACTTTAAACCTTCATATATACCATCCCTAAGCATGCATGAATCAATCACCGTTTACTCCATATAGCATGTACATGAACCAACTTTACCACATAACATCATACAACCTTAAATAACCTTTCATTCCATATGACAATGTCTCAAAACATCATAACCAAATTAGTTTTTATCATTGCATTGCCTAATCAACCTAAAAACATTATTACAACATACATCTCCCTTCAACAACTGTCAAAGAAATGATATATAAAGAATTATACTCATCCAAATGATCTCAAACATATCACAAAAGAAAGCTAAGAGAATAAGCTACAACCCTTATGAAGACATGAGATTCTAAAAAAAAATAATCTTCTTAGCTTAAAAATTCCAAAACCACAACAGATATATTTAGCGCTAACAGCTAGACCTCTAATTACCAAAGCAGCTATAACTAGAGTTCTAGACCTCCGTTCTACCTGATCCTAGTTCCATTGGAAAGATAACATCCAAGGCTTCAACTTTCCTGAAGACTACAAAATCTAATTTTGTCAATACGGTACTCATACTGGCACAACAAAATTGCAGTGAAAACATCCTCTACACTAGACAATAATAGTGTATCAACATCTAAGGCCACGAAAATACCTCAACCCTTCCAAACTCACTCCTTTCCCCCTCAAACTCATACCCAAGCTTCCCATTACAATCCTAAACCAAAATAACTCATATATTCAGCGCAAAAGACTTAGAAACTGAAATAAAACTTACATGCTACCTAAACCATAAAAGGTTAACATGCAAGCACCAACAGTCAAGGCAATTACCAACATTACAATCTCTCATCAAGAATACCAAAACTGCAATTCTCAACATACAACATCCTTGGATTCAATCGCTACAACTATAGATTTTAGGAACTCTATCAACCATAAACTCTCAATACACTCAACAAATCAATGTCTCACCCACATCCAAGGTTCCAATAGTTTCTAGTTGATTAGGATGATGCTTCCTCCACTACTACTTCTTACGTAAGCAAGAAGTATCAAAATAAACAAGTAATCATGAGAATGAAGAAAAACAATCATAAATAGCATCATTTAAGCTATATCATGTCTATCAGCCAAAGTCTGAGGAAACGGTACACACAATTAAATAAACAACAAACATAATCAATCATCACACTAGCATATCAATAAGTTCCACAATCAATTCATTCCATCATTCATCTACCAAACAAGCATAGTAGACTCATAACCCACGACCGATTGGATCAACCTGCTCTGATATCACTAAATGTGACACCCTCTACCCCAACATACATATCCAATAATTATAAAAATAAAATTCTTCATCATTAAAAACCAAATCTCCAACCACATAAGGGTAAAGAGTTCACATGCATAAAATTAATCCAAATAACATGTCAGTGAAATTACAAAGAAATAAAATTGAGTTTTCAAATACTTTAATGGAAATAGCATCCTAAACTAAGCCTAGCTATGCCTTGATGTCACATATCCTATTAGAGCATGCCCAACTGAAGTCTAAGCCTCATCACCAACATCCTCATGCTGATGATCACCTGCAACGCAATTTAAACACATTCAAAGAACAAGGGAGTGAGAAACATCTCACTCATGTTCAGGTGCAGAAATAAAGGTTAGATAACACACATACACACAACAAACATATTACAAGTCACAAGCACCAATCACATATAAACAATACACATACATAATCAGTATCACATTTACACTCATTTATCATACAATAATGTAATGGAGTCGACTCATAAATGCATGCATGTGGCACTATACGTAAGTTTCACATTTCTCATCACTTCATGAATACATCACTAGTGACCAAAGGTACACCTAGAATAGCTTGTTACATCACTGGTATGCGGCCTAAGCGGCACACTTGGAATAGATCATTTCATCACTGGTGACCTAATGTACACCTTGTTAGCTTGTTACATCACTGGTATGCGGCCTAAGCGGCACACCTGGAATAGATCATATATGCACATGATGCATGTCACACATTCACTATTTTATTGACTCAACATTTCACTTGTCACGAAATTTCATGTCTTATCTCATTTCATCACATTTCACATTCTCATAGTCATAGTTTATCTCATTTCATCACGTTTCACATTCTTATAGTCATAGTGTTCATATTATCACATTCTCATTCACATCATGTCTCATGTCATTTGTTCATATTTCACATAGTCATACTCATAATTGTTCCTCATAGGTTTCACACAAGAACCCACAAAGCACTCTAATTCATATCAAAACTTATCTAATTTTGAAATCAAATACATATTTACACTCTACATCACACAAGGAACGCAAAAAAACATTCAGAAAGTAAAACATAAACATTCATATTTTGTCTGTTTCTCATAGGTTTCTCACTCCTCCCTTACCTGCATAAGTAGAAGACAAAGCTAGAGCGAAATCTGGTTGAACTCCTTCTCTTGGTTCTCCTTGGTCTTCAGAAAGTGTGTCCAGAAGCAATGCCAGAGTCTTCTATTTATAAATGTTAGGAGTGGTCAGAACGACCCATTTTGGATCCGGAACGGCCCGTTCTAGACTCATTCGTCATGTATAAAATTCATATATAGAACGGACCATTCTTAAACCAGAACGACCTGTTCTGGGATAGTGTTTTAACACATAACAACCATGTTTGGAATGACCAATTCTTAAACCAGAATGGCCCGTTCCTAACTAGGGTTATAGGCCATTTTAGTAGTTTGGAACAGCCCGTTCCAGTTTGGAAACGACCATTTTAGGATACTAAATCACCCTTATTGGACTTTGAGCCTTTGAATAATCTGTGAAAATCGGGGTGTTACAAAATCAGCACACAACAATCTTCAACTTTGTCATGGTTTCCATTGTGGTCGTGCTTTCCTAGGCTTCAACTTCTCCCTGAAATTCTTCTTTTGGCTAAGATGACTTTGTTATTTTTTTCCCTTAGATGGCTGAGATGGATGGCCTACATGAGATCCCTGGGATGGTCGGGCTTGTTGGATGGGGTGAGATGGTTGGGCTTGCTGGATGGTCTAAGAGGGTTGGGTGGGTTGAGGTGCTTCATTTGGTGTTGGAGTATAACTTAGGTTTTCCTTGTAGGTAGATTTGTATAATTTCAGGTTCAAATGTTGGGTGTTCGATATATAATCTAACATTTTTAAACTAGCTTGCTATCCTTATCATTTCCATGGCCCCCTTATCATCAGACAACAATTTCAATCCATTCTCAAAGTCCACCCCACCCACAAAATACCACATCTTATTCACTATAATATATCCCATTTCCCTTAAAATATCCAATATTTCATAATAAGACCATCTTTTAGGGTCACAGGACCATGTGGAATCATGACCCACATAATCTAACTTCCCTCTATTCACAAACTTCCCCCATGATGGACAACTACCTCAAAATACTCATCCATATTACGCAACTTCTATAAAAATAAAAAAAAACACACATATTTTAATATTAACCTATTGTAATGCATATTTGCAATTATAGAAAAATAATTAATTAAAAATTAATATAAACAAAAATAATTAATAGAAACAATTAAATATTCATAACACATTCATAACATAATATATGCATACATAACAACCAACACACGAGTGGGCTAACATAGTAAAAAAAGGAAGATTAATAGGCCAACATATGCAAATAAATTAGGATCAGTGTATCAATGTATTAGTGGGCCAACATATACATGTATACGTGGGTGAACAATGTACAAGTCAGTGGGGGCCAATATATGCGCAACACACAACACCATTTTTTTTTTACTTTATTTAACTGACAAAATGTATCATACATTCTTTGGGGCCACACAATAGCATCAAAAGTTCACATAATAACCAAAACACACCATAAAATATCAGGAACCCATTGTTTGGGACCACACAAAAAACAAAATCTATCCAATAAACATCAAAACGCAACTCATACCCCAGGCCCACTCTCAACCCTAGCCCCACACTCACCCCAATAAGATCATTTAGTCAAACGCGAAACCAGAAAATCCTAAACTCAACACTTACTTGATTTGAACACGACCCAAACACGACTTCTTCTTCTTCACATCAATCATGAAGGAACGCGACTTCTTCTTCTTCCAAGACCTAACAACAACAATTCTCTCTCGTGACTCACAGTGAACGAACATGACTTCTTCTTTTAAGACCTAAAAATAACAGCACTTCTCTCTCGTGACTTTGAAAAAGGAAAGAGTTAATCCACGTTGGAAATAACTTGAATAATCACAAATTTAATTATTTTCTACATGGACACTCTTAAACGGCGTGTGAGAAATTTAGACGGAAAACAAATATTACAAACATTTTTGACAGGTGAGACTAAATTGAATCCAAAAATTAAAGTGAGACTAAATTAAAATTTTAAAATATTATAAGGAACTAAATTAAAATTTTAGCCAAAAAATTAATATAGTGAATTTTAAAAAATTATATTACTAAAATTACAAAATTAAAAATTTAAATTGAGGATTTAATATATTTTTCAAAAAGGGGTTTAACTAGTAAAAAGGTTAACAGTATTCTCTCACCGGGATAGTGAGTGCAGTGCTTAGTTCAGCACTCTCCTCCATCAACAACAACAACCACCGCGTCTAGGTCATTCCACACTCTCCCTTCGCACCCAACAATGCTGTTTCACATACCCTAATAACCCCTTTTCCCTTCTCCAAAAAGTAACGCTACTACTTTTTTCTTTTCAGACCCTAACATCGAATACCCACATTCCCAATTTCCCTCAACTTATTCTCTCACCACCGATAAAACGATGTCGGGCAGAAACCGCGGGCAACCCCTTCCTCCTCCGCGCGCCGGGCTATCGCCGCCGATCCACGACCCGGTGTTCGGCGCGAGGGCCCATCTGGTGGGGCACGTGCCTCCCCACCCGCACCCGCACCCGGTGCTTCTAGAAGACTTCCGAGACCCGCAGCAGCTAGGGCTGGGCCCGCGCGGGCCCATCCCGCTGCACCCTGCGGCGATCATCGAGGAGCGTCTCGCGGCCCAGCACCAGGAGATCCAGGGCCTCCTCGGCGACAACCAGAGGCTCGCCGCCACCCACGTGGCCCTCAAGCAGGAGCTCGAGGCGGCCCAGCACGAGCTCCAGCGCGTGGCCCACTTCCGCGACTCCCTCCGGGCCGACACCGAGGCCCGCATGCGGGAGCTCTACGACAAGTCGGCCCAGCTCGAGGCCGAGCTCCGCGGCGCCGAGGCCGCCCGGGCCGAGCTCCTCCAGGTCCACGCCGACGTCAAGGAGCTCACCGCCGTCCGCCAGGACCTCTCCGGCCAGGTGCAGGCCATGACGCAGGACCTCGCCCGGATGACCGCCGACGCGAAACGGTTGCCGGCGCTCAGGGCAGATGTTGAGGCCATGAAACAAGAGCTGCAATGTGCAAGGTAGTGGCTGTTTCAATTTGAGGCAATGCTATAATTGTGCTTAAATTACACTATGTGATGTATAGTTAACCTTTGTTGTGGCTAATTTTTGAATTATGTTGCTATTGACTAGAGTGTGTGGTGAATACTGAATGTTCTATGTATGGCAGTTGACAACATATCCACACTATAGTGGGAATTTTATGAAGGAAAATTTTTTGGTATAATTCCTTAGGTGTGGTTGGTGCTGTTCTCCAATTAGAATTGGAGATTTACCACGATATATTTATAAATGTGTATTAATGAGACCTGCATTAAAAGCAAATGCATAATATCGAGTAAATCTCCAGTTTTGATTGGAGAACAACACCAAGCACACTTAAGAACTGTTCCTAAATTTTGTCCTTTTATAAAATGCATACTTTTAGGATTGTAGAGTATGGTTTGGATGGTGGATATATGATGGTGGCTTAGGAGGGTTTACTGTGATTCTGAGTTGATGTTTTTAATTGGGAATTGGCTTTTAGGGCTGCCATTGAGTATGAGAAGAAGGGATTTGCGGAAAACTATGAACATGGTCAAGTGATGGAGAAGAAGTTGGTTGCGATGGCTCGGGAGATGGAGAAACTTCGTGCAGAGATTGCTAATGCAGAGAAAAGAGCACGGGCTGCTGCGGCAGCTGGGAATTCAGGTATGCAGTTTTATCTTTGATATGGTTTTGTCAAGTTAGCTAATTGCAATTTTTGACATCTAGTGGTGTTGGGTCCGGTTCCATTCTTGTGTGATGAGCTTTTGTTTTCATGTTTTTAGAATTCATCGTTTTGGGCCAACTATGACTGTTGTAGTTGGAATATGTGCTGAGTAGTTGACCAGAATCTTGCCCCTTTTTTGTGGAATTTAAGCCTACTGATGCTCTTACTTTGTTTGTTGTTCTTTTCTTTGCTTTTGTTTGTAGGTCCAGGGTATAATGCAAATTATGGCAATGCTGATGCTGGATATGCTGGAAATCCTTACCCTGGCATTTATGGCATTAATCCAGTAAGTTTTGTTGCATCTCAAACACGTCTTAACTCTCAAGTATAATTGAACTTATAATATGCATTTGTTCTTGATCAAAACTGAGTGGACCAGTCTGAACCAAAAGGTAACTGTTGGTTTTAGTTTCTCAGTCAATCACTTCCATTTGGGATTTCTTGGGAAGTCTGTATGTTGTTTGTTCAGTACTTCAGTTGGATTGGTGGAAATGACCTTCATAAATGTTACTGAAACCTTGAATTTGTTTATGCTTGCTTACATATGGTGGACCTGTCTACAGTGTATATGGTTATGTAGTACTCTTTTATGATCTTTCAGTCAATTTGGATATTGTTATTTGCTAATACTGGTAAATTTCAGGTACAGCCTGGTGTGGAGAGTTTTCCTCAGTATGGACCTGGACCTGGTGCTTGGGGTGCATATGACATGCAGCGTGCTCAAGGACACAGATAGATTCCTGTTGAGCAATCTAATAACTGGTATCTTGGGCTGCAACTTTCTAGATGATTGGTTCAGGGTTTAAGAGTTATCTACTCATGAACATCATGGGAAATTATCTATTAGATGGTCCTTGAAGTTGTACTTACATTAAATAGCTTATATGTTGGTTGATGGTGTAGATGATGTTTGTCTATGGTGTCAATTAAAGGATATTTTGCTTTATACTATCTTTTTATTGTGGTGTGGTTCTCATGCTAGTCTTGCTCTTTAATTTGTCTTTAGCTTGTGTTTTCTTCTATTCCTTTCTGCTATGGTTAGTTGAAGGTTACTCATTGTTAAAGTTGTGCAAGTATAGGTGGATTTTTGGTAAATATTAGCATCTTGTTAACCATCACCACCTCCCATGACAAGGAAAAGAAAACTTGTTTTTGATTTGTATCCCTTACTTTGCATGTAGTAGGCTCTCTAGAAAATGGTTTGAATTTTCTCAAGGTATAAAATCTCTGTTGGAGTTGTTAAAAAACTTAAAATAGTTGGATTTTATTGAAGTATCAGCTTCTCGATGACCATCACTAGCCCAGAAGAAAACAAGGAAAAGAAAATATTTGCTAGACCTAAAAAACTTTTTGTCCTAAACTTTAGTAATCTGAAATGCTCTCCAACTCCAAGGAAAGGTCCCTTATTTGGACAGTGATACATACTAATGGAATCTTGTAGATTAGACCTAAAAAACATTTTCTCCTAATCTGTGTGATGTGATGTGCCGATTCATAAACAGTTGCACATTTATTTCTACATTGCCCAAGCTTCAACTGTAGACCTAAGAAGTTTTTATCTCTTAATGGTTCTGAGGATAAATAACTTGTAAGAAGCAAAGACATAAAAGTTTTATAGCAACTTGCTACATTTACTGTTCTTTTGTTATTCAGTGAGAAAGGAATGATCAAGTTTTGAAGGAAAATTACCATTAGCGTGCTTTGGCACAAGGTTCATTTTCAGTCGTAATACATGGCTCAAGATTTTCTTTTGGAGTCTTTTTGGTAATTTCGTAGATTTACATAGGCTCTGGTGAGCATTTTTTGATCATGATTTAATTATTTTTCTGTTGATTGTTGGTTTCCTTATTGTTTTGTCAATGGAGGATTCTCTCCTTTCATTCTATCTTTTCACCATTGAGAAAAAAGGCCGGTTAGTGGTTGGGGTGTGTGTGTGTGGGGGGGGGGGTGGTGTTGTATCTTAAATATAAATATCCAAAAATATTGTTCTGATTTGCAAATTGGATTAGCATTGCCCTGTAGAGATTTCTTCCATACAGAGTTGGCTTATAGAGAATTGAGTACAAACCCATTGAATTCAGTGAAATACATCATCTTATGCTTCATTTAGTCTATTGACTTCCTTAAAAGTAATAACAGCGATCTTATTAGATTTTGGGTGGATGCATAGGTGGGGGTCCTAGGGGATATTTCTTTTTCAGAGGCATTTGTTCTCAGGTCTCAATTTTTTCATCATTGTCCTATCCTAAATTTTATCATGATCAGTTATTTATCCCATTTCTTAGAAACCTTAGTGAAAGAAAATTCTAAATTTGTTTTCCTTTTTTACTTGTTAGTTTTTGCGCTTACATCTACTCATTGGTATAAGAGATTAGGATTCTATCAATTCTTTTGGTGTGTGACTGTGTTCTCTTGCTTATCTTTCCTCTAGTTTCGCATCCATTCTCCAACATAGCTAAATCCTTCTTGAAAATCCCCATCAACATTCAAAACCCTCTTAATGTTGAGTCTTGTATCTAAATAACAGTAGTTAATATTGAATTTCAAGAAGAAACTTGAATTCTCCTTGCATTCATTCATTGACTAAAAATTGGTTAAGGTGGTTTGATGTTTTGAACACATTCAAAGAAGGCTACTGAAAACACCAGTATACTGTGGGTTTTTTAGTCTTGTTAAAAGGGGGAGATGGAGACCGAAAAGGACATTAGAGGAAGTATTTAAGAGAGGATCTCAAGGTGAATAATAGCTTGAAGATTTAGTCTTTAATTGAACCGAATAGTGTCATGTGGTCCATGTAGCCAACCTCACTTAGTCGGGTAAGGCTTTTGTTATATTCATTGGCTAAAAATGAGAATATATAGGAAAAAGCGTGGCAACAGGTCTGTCGGTGAATCCCTTTAATTTTAGTTACAAATCTTTTAATTAAGGAAACAATTCAAAAATAGAGAGATATTAGGATATAACCTCCCTAATATCGTTATTAAAAGTTTGAACTAACAAAAGTGGAAATAAAATAACTTAAATAAGGAAATGGAACCAATCATGGATAAATTTATCCCTAAAATTTAGAGATTGAGATGTGAATGCAACACTCCCCTTCAAGCTAGTGAACATATGTTGATCATTCATGGTTTGGATTTCTATTAGCTTTGCAGAAAGAAAATAAAATTCTTGACCAAACTTTCTTGTGTATATTTCATTGACTATAACTGAATACAACAAACTATATTTATATAGTCTTGGAGTGTCTAACATAAAGCAAACTAACTATGCTAACTATGTTGTAACTAACTACACTTATAAAAATACAATTTTATTATTCTATACGATACTCTAATAGCCCTCTTTAAACTTAGGGTGGTTGAGGAGATTCAAGCACTCTGAGTTTGATCTACAATTCATTGAAGCGAGCAATAAAGAATGGTTTGGTAAGTGAGTTAGCTAGCTGATCAACACTAGGAATATGATGAATGAGAAAAGCTTTGGAGATGACTTTCTCGTAAAGTTAGTGGAGGTCAAGTTCAAGATGTTTCATCCCTGCATGAAGTATGGATTATGAGAGAGAGCAATGGCACTGAGGTTGTCACAATATGTCATTGAAGAAGTATGAGAAATACACAACTCAGTGAAAAAAAGATTGAAGTTGAAGCCATATAACCTCAGCAACATTAGTTTCCATGCTTTTGTATTCAATTTCAGTGGTGGAATGAGCGACTAGAGCTTGTTTCTTAGACCACCACAAAACCAGGTTAGAGCCAAGAAAGATTCAAGATCTAGATGTGGATCATTGGTCATCTGGATCGTTGGCCCTGTTAGTGTTGCAATATGCATGAATGGAGATAGGACTACCAATAGAGGAAGTTTGGAGTGAAAGCCCATAGGTGATAAAACCCTTTAGATAACGCATAATGCACTTTATGGCCTATCAATGAGACTCCAGAGGGTTTGCCTTGAATTGGTAAACTTTGTTAACATTAAACACAATTTTGGGGTCGAGTGAGTGTGAGGTACTATAAAGCATCGACTATAGAGGGATAATGGTGTGGCTTCAAAACTGTATTAATTCCAACTTTCATCAATTTAGTGCTCCTAGCCATAAGAGTGGAGATGCCTTTTGCTTCAAGCATCTTGTAAATATTTGACTTCAACACCCAAAAAATAGTTGAGCAATTCATGTTGTTTGAGGGTAAATTGTATATTGGGTTTCTTAATGAGATCATCAACTAGAGTGGAAAAGGATTTAGTGATAAGAATATCATCAACATATATTAACACATAGATGAATGTAGAACTAGTCAAATACACAAATAAGGAGGAATCACAATGGATAACAACAAAACCAAGCTGAATAAGTGTGTTTGGATACTAACTTAAAACTATATCCAATAGAAAAACACGCAAAAGCTTGTGTGTAGATTTTTTTTTTTAACCCTGTTTCCCAAACACATTATAAAAGTGGTTGCAAGTTTATCATACTAGGCTAGAGGGGCTAGCAACAAATATTCATTGTTGACATTATCACAAAAATACTTTCGTTGGCTCTGTGGTTAATTTGAGATCCTTAATTCCCCCTGGTAATCATTTTAGCCATAATTCTTTGCATATGCTTTGAGCCAATAATTTGCTATATCATAATGGATTATTCCTATCATCCTATGCCAGGAGTATTCTCTTCTTCAAGTGTCTAAGGATTGTATAAGCACCCTCCATGTGTTCTTCATTTGGTTTTTAATGAATTGGCTCACATTACTAATTGGTAACGTTGTGTCTAGCCTAGAGTGTGATTGTCACAAGTAAATAAGTTTCCCTACCAATCTTTTATACCTTCCGGTGTCATAAGAGGGTTATCTTCTCTAGAACCAACTTTGTAGTGTAGTCCTATTGGAGTATCTTTTGGCTTGCATCCTAACATTCCAATTTATTCCAATAAATTTAAGATATACTTGTGTTGAGAAAGTATATTACCTTTGAACGAGCTACCTCCATAGTCCATACCAATTCAAATTCTTTAATAAGTACTTTGATAGGGACTAGGGTATTGTGGGTACCTAAGTCCTACATCGAGTCAGATGCTTGTTGGAGTACTTAAGAGGCTTGGTTATCCCCCTTTAACATCTAAATTTTTAGAATGGGTTCCCTAAGTGTTTGTTGGGCCCATAACCCACAGGTCCCTAATTGAAACCCAATCTAATACCAATCGATAAGCACCCAAGCTCTTGATAACCCTCCCTTGGATACTAGCTGTTAAGGAGGAGAACCAAGCCACTTGTACTCCACCTAGCATCCCATACTACTTAAAATGGGGCTTTAGGCACCCCAGAATACCCAAATCTCTATCAGACTCCTCTTAAGTTGGCTAATTCCTCTGCCAAATCCCATTAAAATAATGTCATCAACATAAACAATAATAGCAATCTGACACTTGGAGAGAATTGTGAACAAAATGTGATCAACTTGTCCATATAAGTACCGGACTTCTACTTCTTAATTGCCATAGTGAACCTATCAATCCATGTCCTTGAAGATTGCTTTACAGTTTACACCATATATGGACTTTTGAAGTTTTGCAGATGTTAATATTGCATTGTGTCAAAGTCTGGTGGAATGTCAAAGTACACTTCTTCCAAGTCACCATGGAGAGAAGCATTCTTCACATTTAGTTGATGAAGGGGCTGGTTTTGATTTACTGCTAAAGATAGCAAAAGCTGAATAGTATTGAGCTTGACTTTGGGATTTGGGGGTGGGGATATTTCTAGTCAATGCCATAGGTTTGAGTAAACCCTTTAGCTACAAGTTGATCTTTATATGGACTAATGCTTCCATCAAGATTCTGTCTGACTGTAAGAATCCACCTGCAACACACTGTTTACTTACCTTCTAGCTCACGTTGAGCTTGCTGCAGCTTTGATTTTAGTTTTATCACGTATTTCTATACTCCATTCATTTGTCATGCGACTCTCCCTTTTTTAGGTCACGTGCTTGTTTACACCCATAGATTATTCTGCACAGCAGTTGTACAACGATTTAGGTTTTCATATAATAGATATACTCAAAAGCTCGTAAGACATGCAAAACAATTTGGGTGGTGGTGGTGAGGGGGGGGGGGACTTTCATTTAGTCAAGCATTAGTTGTGAACTATGCTTCATATTTTATCCTTCGCAAGTTTGGTGAGTCAGTCTGCATTCAAGTAGAGATGTTGTATTTTGGGAATTTTTCTATTCCTTTTCTGAAGCAGCCAAGATCTATTTTTTGGGCATCATATATTCACCCTGGAGTAGAAGGATGGAGTCTTGGTTGTGTAAGCTATGCAGCTTTCTGAATGGTAAATTCTTTTGTATAATTTCCTTTACCTTTTCCATATCCCATGATGTGTAGCTATGAATGTAGCATCGGCAATTTTGGTTATCCAAATGCTAATGTTTCTTTGTTGTAGATTTAGTCTACTATGGTGATTGGATAGTTTATGTTTGTTTAAGCTTCTCTACTATGTTAGATCTAAATTTTTTTCTTGGTTGGGTCACTTGGGTGATCTGGTTTGTGTTTGTTTAGATGATAGATACACTCCTGTTTATGCCATCCATGCTTTATGTATGTCTATCAAGGCTATTTTTCTTTTTGTCTGTTAATTGGTTTCGCCCTCGATTGTTTAATATCTGAGCAATGTTGTACTTTTCATTTGCAAATGTGTGGAATAGAAATAGAAAAAATGGTATGATAAAGTTTGGAGATGAGGTTTGAGTCATAGACAAGGATTAGTGTATTTGTGCCAAAAAATAGGACTTGGTTACTCATGTATAGGTTGTTGCTCTAAAGGTGAGATTTTAAGTGTTAAGTTTGGATTGATTGATGAGAAGGCAAAGAAGCTATATAGGATCTGTTTGGATAAACTTCTCCATAAACACTTGTAGAAGAAAATCAGAGGAAAAATGAAGTAAGTTTTTTTTAAAGCTAAAATTAGCTATTAGTTTATGGCTTTATGCCTAAGCTAGTTTGTAGAAACTCTCACTTTAGTTTCTCCAAAACATGTTTTTTTTTTATTTAAATTTTTGTATAAACTAATTTGAGTTTATATAGAAACATATTTCATTTTTTCTTCTTTCTTTCTCCTATAAGTGATTATGGAGAAATTTATCCTAACAGATCTATAGTTCATTTCACAGTGATTTGATTTTAAACATTAGAGGTGAACTTTTTTACTTGGTTTCTCCACATAGACCTTTTCATAAAGGATTTCAGTTTTTCTTTTGAAGAACACAGTTGCTGTTTTAAGTAATAAGTTCAAAAACATGATAAGTCATATTAATATAAATAAACACTGCATAACATTTTGCTCTCCTTTTTCTTGCCATGTTTAAGACTGAAAATGATTGGTATGAATTACCTTATTGTCAGTTCTAATAACAAGTATTCATTGTTATGTTATTAATCCAAATATTCAGTTAATTTGTGTTTTTTTCTCCTTTGGGTTGGGTTTTGGGGGGGGGGGGGTGTAGTTCCTTAAATTTGTAGTGGAATTTGACGTTGCTTGCTTGTTACTTTGTCATACGATATATCAGGTCTGTTTTAGATTTGGTAGAATTGATTTCAAAAAGTTGAGGTTACCCAAATACAACGGTGTGTGCATTGAAAGCCATTTTGTTTAACACAAGTATGTTTGGGGTAAAACAAATTGGGTGATAGTAGTTTAACGGAATGATATCAATTGCTTAGTGGGAAAGGCTTTTATTGTTATACTGTTGTTGTTGTGTATACGTCATGTATTGGTTTTATATAATGATTCATTATCATGGTTTTTTAGTGCGTGCTCTGTAATGACATAATGTTTTATTTATTTTTTTATGTAGGGTTCTGAATTTTGGGCCCAAACGTTGTGCCTTTGATTCCTTGGTTCACCTCTGCAGGTATGTTCTATTTGTACCCTAGTTTAGGGGCATTTTGTGGGGTTGGTTTTTCTTTCAAACATTTAGGGACTTGCAAACTTTTTTTTGCCTTCTTTCATCAGTTTTAACTAGCATCCTGTGCATTGTATGAGTATTTTGAAGTTTATGCAAAGTTTGATAAATAATCAAAGAAAAAATTAAAAGAGAATGTTTAAAATTATAAAAGAGAAAATATATTTAAGGTTGTTAAAAATATTTGCATAATTGTTCTAGATGAATTTAGATTTAAAACAAAAGGAATCAAAAATGAAATTTGTCATTCTTTAAGGGAGAGTACATTGAGATCATGCTTGTGTTTGAGAATAGATTATTTTAAGAAATAATCACTTATGTTTCAAAAGATTAAAAAGTCATTAAAAACATGCTATTATTTCTTTAAAATAAGCTAAACAAAATATGCACTTATTTACTCTCAATTCTCAAAGGTAAACGGGGATTTGAAAGTAACTAATTTGAGTGATAGCAGCTGAGATTGGGAGACAAAATTTGAACATAAAAATGAAATTCAATAGTAGTTAATTTGAGCATATAAACAACTGATATTTAGGGAGAAAGAAGAAATTTTAATGTGCAAATAAGATGAGAGTTTTTAAAAAATATAAAGTTGTTTTGTGTTGGTAAAACCACGTCTTAAGGAGAATATGATAGAAGTTTGTCTCCCATTCAAGAATGAGGACTATATATAATTATGTTGGCTAGACTATTGGTTCTGTATAAATTACGTTAATTAAAGCGAAGAGAAAGAAAGTAAAAAGAACTTGGAGGACAAGGTATCATCCATGGCAAAAGAGAACACAATGAAGCAAAACAGCTCAATCTGTCGATCTTTATGCATAGCTATATCTGTTTATGAAACATCCAAAAATGTGCCTTGCACTAAACAGATCTGTTATGGAATTCCCCCAAAAATGATCATTATGATTTATACCAAACAGAAATCAATGTTGTCGAGAACCGACGAAACTTCCACAGAATAGTTTATAAGTTTGTTTGGGTAAACTTCTTTAAAAGCACTTTTTTTTATTTTTGAAGAAAAATGAAATAAATTTCTTTGTAACTAAAATTAGTTTATACAAAAGTAAATTTATAGAAGTTCTCTTATATTAGTTTCTTCAAAACTTATTTTGAAGTTATGCATTATGAAGAAACTTATTTCATTTTTTCTTTTTCATTTTTATTTTTAAAATTGTTTATGGAGAAGTTTATCCAATCAATCTCTTTCTCTCTCTCTCTCAATTCAAATTGACGGGTAATCACAAAATATTTTGTACATTGATTTGAATTAATAAAATGGAATATCAAATAATTTTTAAATTTTTAAAAAATTTGTAGACTTGATTTACGTATTAAGAATTTTTAATTTAATTATTGAATTATTAAAATTTGATGTAAAACATGAGTTTTTGAGTAGACCTACTTATAGAGTAAGTGGACCACTCTTTATATATATACACACACACACACACACACACACACACACACACACACACACACACACATATATATATATATATATATATATATATGAGGGGGGTTATAATTATACTGGTGTAACTTTTATTAAGTATTACACCATTCAATAATTTTATATTAATTGTAAATTTTGTAAATCCAACCGTTAGATTGAAAGTTCTTATTACTTTATATGTGTATATCAAACGTTGTTAAAATTGAGCAACAACTTGAAGGTAATCAAAGTGTTTATATTTTAACTCATTAAATGTGAATTTTGTAAATCCAACCGTTAGATTGAAAATTCTTTATTCTTAGATCATATATACAAAATTTTATATTAATCCAAGATGATTTGATACTTCATTTTTATAAAACAAAATTGACGTAATATATTCATTTCAAAATACACTAAAATATGAACACTTTGATTACCTTCAAGTTATTGTTCAATTTTAACAAAAATTGATATACATGTATAAAGTGATATGAACTTTCACTCTAACGGTTAAATTTACAAAATTCACAATTAATATAAAGTTATTGAGCGTATAACACTTAGTAAAAGTTATACCGATGTTATTATAACCCTCCTCTCTCTATATATATTTTTTCAAAGAATCAATTTTAGAATACTCCTGTTTATTACAATTTAATAAAACATTTGCTATAATGTAAACTCTCCCCCTCCCCAAAAAATGTGAAAGAACTCTTAATTGATGTGTCAAGAACACTTACACTATTACTTTTATGCTTTAGTTTGAATTGGCATCAAATTGGATCGTCAAGGATTATAACAAGTTTTCCGCTTCAACACTTGATGTTGGAAGTGCAAGGACATACAAGCTTACGGTAAATTTTCACAAGCTTGCACCCAACTTTTTGTAATCAAGTCGTTTGAGTTAATTATTAGTCAACGTGTTTGTTCTACAAGAAATGTCTTTCAAGGGTTAATCTTCAATGTCTCGTTTGGCTACAGGTGATGTTTTGTATTATATGGCTTTTCAGATAGTAAACGAGCACTTAAGTCTGGCTTGATTATTTAATCGAGTCCCAATCTCTATATTAATTGCTTGTGGAATTGCTCAATAACCCATGGTAGTATTACTCTGGAATAATTCTCAATAGTTAATTTACTTAATAACTCATAGTCTATATTAAATTTTAATGTATAATATGCTTTCATAAATATACAATAATTTGAATTAATGTAAAAAAGTATTATGTAGTTTAATTTTGTAAAAACTTGTAGTCTTTTTATTTATTGAGAATTTTTAATTATCAATTGGAACGTTAAAATTTAATGTAACCGTAAGTTATTGAGTGAAATAACTTTAATAAGAATTACTTTGGTGTATATATATCAGATAATTCCATTTTTATTTAATATTTTAAAAATATAATTTTGTTTATTATCATGTTTCATCATTTAGACTTACTGATCATCAAGAGTTTTTAATTTATCAATTAAATTCTTGAAATTTAGTGTAGATTATGAATTATTGAGTGAAATAATTTCACTAAAAATTACATTTGTAAATCTCTATCCTACATCTTGCTCTCTATATATATATATTGTTGGACAATTGTATTTTTATTTAATATTTCAAAAATATAAAATTGTTTATTATCATCTTGAAGTAGTTTTTAAGAGCATTTATTAAAGGGTTAAATATGTTTTTAGTTCATCTAATTTAGAATAAATTTATTTGTGATCTTTTAAATTTAAAATTATTGTTTTTAATCTTTGTAATTTTTAAAAATATTGTTTTACTTTTTTAAATTACTGATAATATATTTGAAAGTGACAAATTAAAATAGTTATGCAATATTAATTGAGTATAATATGATGTTTTTACTAATAAGGACATTAATAAATATATTTTATGCGATAATATTTTATAAATTCATTAACAAAATTTGAGTATATGGATTAAAACAATTTTTTTTTTGAAATTATAGGGACTAAAATCAATTTTATGTTTAATAGATTAAAAATAAATTTATTTTAAATTTGAGGGATTAAAAATATATTTAAGCTTTTATTAAGTGTTTTGATTAGATAGTTAATTTATTTTTTATTTTTTAAAATTTTAGTTTGAATAGGACAATTTAGTTTTTACCATAAGCAGAAATAATTTTAATATATATGTATATATATGATTAAATATGTTTGTAGTCTTTAAACTTTTGTAAATTTTTAATTTTAGTTTTTAAACAATTTTTTAATCAATTTTAGTCCTTAAATTTTTGTCGATTTTTTACTTTTAATTTTGGACTTTTTTTTGCTTGTTATCATTTTTTTTATCCCTGTCATCAAATTTTGTTCATGGAATAAAATGGTGCCCAATGTCAAACCAATTTCAAGAGAAACGGTACCAAGTGCAAAAGTCACACAAACCTTCCCAAAACTCAAACCTTGCATTCCAATTAGTAAAAATGTAATTAAAGTCTAATTTTTAACAAATAAACCATCAATAACACCAATTAAATGTGTATACCAAAACATCACCAATCTTGTTAATTTTTATACTTTAAGGTTTTTATAGAAATTACTCACAAATTTATGATTAAAGAAACTCATGAAATTCTCTATGTATTCAACTCAATTATGACATATAGGACACATACGAAAGGTATGGAACACAAACTCACAGTATATATACTAGAATCTAAATTTCTTCCTGAAAAACATGCACAAACAAGAGTCAATCTCTCCACCACGCAAATAACTCACACCCAAGGTAAGAATTTCGTATCTTTAGAAGGCTCAAGTTCTCTAGACAACTCTTCAAACACAGAGAGACGAGCATAAGCGTAGAAGAGAAAACATAACAACTAGCTAAGCTAAAACCTCCCCTGATAAAACCAACTCATTTCTTTTTAATAAAATAAATCATAATTAAATAAAACTATAACATAAAATACATATTTTCCAAATACACTTAATCAAAGAATTAATTTCACAACTTTCCTTAATTAATTAAAATACATAATTAAATAAAAACATCTCAATTATTTTTCAAAAACCCCTTAATTAAAGCTTCTTTTTATTAATTTATTTCAAAAACTTGGGATGTTACACTAAAGAATATCCTAAAAATATATTCTTCTACATCTAAACTATATCTTAAATATTTAAATTTGGAAATTTAAATTATATTCACATGTTGCTCAATTATTACATGTCATCCAAAATTAAATAGAAAATGACAATGTGTTGGTGAGTAACATTACTTGACAATTACTTAGTTAGGTTGGTTTTCTTGTAAGGAAAAACATTACTTTTTACTACATATATGTTGTTGTGTTTATTTATTTTTATTTCAATTAACAATTATAATTTAATAAAATAATTTTTACCTATATGGCTAACTAACTATAGGTAGTACCACTCACGAACACTTGTTAGCATGTTGCATTTATTTTTGAATGACATGTTAACCATAGACTAGAATTGCTTAATTTTGAAAACTAGAGGACTATATTTACAACAAAAAAATTTGGAGGAACAAAATTTTACAATTGGAAAATTGTAGGAACCAAAAGTGAATTTAAGCATTATATTAATAGAACTATGTAATATGTTGTATCAACTAAAATCCATATACGTTATTGGTTTGCCCAAGCTTGCATATGCACCTCAAAATGTTCATTAAGTTCCTCTAAGAGTTCCCATGAGTGAACACAACCTTTGATGTGAATCGAAAGAGAATGTTTTTATTAATTTGTGTCAAAAATTATATTCTTTTTTTTCTTTCTTCCTAATACAAAGATACACTTGTCCATCAACAACATAACTATGAAAATAAGAAAATAAGGAAAGATTATAGGATAAAATCAAATCCCCTATAATACTTCTCTTTTACAACAATTTGCTTAAGTATACTACTCGTTATCATTGATTGTAGCCAAGACAGAAGTAGTTCATCTTGCTCTTAGGTTTGATATGTAGGATTTATAGATCAATTAGCACAATCTTCTTTAGAGAGAAAACGTGATGGAATGCACCAAATAAAAGTGAAGTATATGACCTCTAACGATTGGTTCGATCTTCTATCACCAAAGAAAAAAGTTGTCTTCAATGGGATTGAGGAAAAGCAAATGGGGCTAACAAAGGAATAGTCTGAGTAGAAGAGGAATGTGACAAGGACAATCGGGGAGATAGAGATCTAACTATTCATGAAGAACCCTAAATTTTAAGCTCTTATACCATGTACAAAAAGTACAATAAAGAGAGAAAAGAACACTCTCATCTTATTACTAAATAAGAGTTTGTACAAAAAAAGATATTGAGCTTATGTACATAAAGCCTATTTATAAGAAAAGTTCTGCTAAAAAAAGATATTGAGCTTATGTACATAACGCCTATTTATAAGAAAAGTTCTGCTAGCAATGATGATGTAAGAATTTGTTATAATTGACAAGTCAATTATAACAAACTACAGAAATTATAGAAAGCTAAGAAATCAAAAATACAAAATACAAGAAATAATATTTTCTTGCAATTAGCTTGTCTAGAGATACGCAAGTCCATTTAAAAGCTTTAATATAAAATGAGTCTTTATGTAGGATGGTAGACCAAGTCCAACTTTAAAATAAACTTTAAAAAAATCAAGTTATATATATATATATATAGAGAGAGAGAGAGGATTCACTTATTCCATAAGTAAGTCATGATAGACTTACTCCATTCAATAACTCATGTTTTACACCAAATTTCAACAATTTAATTATTAAGTTAAATATTTTTAATGCATAGATCAAATTTGTAAATTTTTAAGAAATTTGAAAATTATTTAATATTTTATTTCATTAATTTAAATTGGTAGATAATCATAAAAATATTTTATACATTGATTTTAACTTATATAACGAAGTATCATATATTTTTTCAATTTTTTTTTAAAATTTGTAGATTTAATCAATTAATTAAGAACTTTTAATTTAACAGTTGAATCATTGAACTTTGATATGGAATATAAATTATTAAATGAAGTAAGTCTAGGTAGATTTACTCTTAAAGTATGTGAATCTATTTACTCCAAGAATAAGTTTTGATAGACTTATTCTACTTAATAACTCATGTTCTATATCGAAATTTAACAATTCAACTACTAAATTAAAAATTCTTAATGCATAAATAAGTCTACAAATTTTTGAAATATTTAAAAACTATTTAATATTCCATTTCTATAATTAAAACAATGCATATTTTTTTTTTATGATTATCCGTCAATTTAAATTAATAAAATAAAATATCAAATAATTTTCAAATTTTTTAAAACTTTACAGACTTATCTATGCATTAAGAACTTTTAATTAAATAGTTAGATCATTAAAATTTGATGTTGAACATAAATTATTTAGTAGAGTAAGTCCAAGTAAACTTACTATTAGAGTAAGTTGAACCCTAATAATATGTTGGGCCAACTCTATAACTCTCGATAGACTTACTACACTCGATAATTTATGTTTTACATCAAATTTCAACGATCAAACCATTGAATTAAAATTTTTTAATACATAGATCAAACTTATAATTTTTATAAAAAAAATTAATACATAGATCAAGCCAACAAATTTTAAAAAAATAAAAATTACTTGATACTTCATTTCATTAATTACAATTGATAGATAATCATATAAACATTATATACATTGATTTGAATTTATATAACGAAGTTTGTATAGTTTTCAAATTTTTTTTATTGATTTACAAACTTGATCTATTTATTAAGAACTTTTAATTTAACAGTTGGATCATTAAAATTTGATGTAAAATATAAGTTATTAAGTGAAATAAATCTATCAAGATTTACTCCTAGAGAGAGAAGAGATCAACTTACTCCATGAGTAAGTCTTGGGAGACTTACTTCACTTAATAATTCATATTCTATATCAAATTTTAATGATTCAACCGTTAAATTAAAAGTTCTCAATGTATAAATTAAGTGTGAAATTTTTTAAAATTTTAAACATTATATGATACTAAGTTATATAAATTTAAATCAACGTATAGAATATTTTTATGATTATCTATCAATTTGAATTTAATGAAACAAAGTATCAAATAATTTTCAAATCTTAAAAAATTTGTAGACTTTCTATGCATTAAAAACTTTTAATTTAACAATTAGATTGCTAAAATTTAATGTAGAATATGAATTATTGAGTGGAGTAAGTTTATTACAAAATTCACATTTAATATAAAATTATTGAACAGTTTAATACTTGGTAAAAATTACACCGGGGTTATTATAACTCTTATCATATATATGTGTGTCTTTGAACTAACAACCTAGGTTTGGACCTTGAATGTTTTAAACAGACAAAAGCTATTTATGTGAAACTTTATTTGATCTTGCCTATTTCCACGCCAAGTAACATTTCTCTTGATAGAAAACCTAAGCTTATGATAGATCTTGACAATTTTGACAAGAGCCATGGAATAATGACTAATCTTCACTGTGGTACTACTCCACTTATCAGTTATTTGGTTCTTCTGGCTTAACATTATTCCTACTGATGTCCCCGCCAACAATTTTTTCTCAGGACAGTGCTAATTAAATACTATAGTAGTTTAAAACGAATCTAAGCCAATTAACTGCAATTTGATAACTTACATGTATAATGACAAATGAAATGTTCAATGATAGATGACCATTATAATCAGGCAATCTAATAATTGAAAAGGATTAGCCCAAGCAACCTTGGAATGTCATCAACATCTTCTCCAACTTCCATCAGAACTCCTTGAAAAAGCGCGAGGCTGCTTCTTGGGAAAGGTTTCTGCCCAGTGTGGATGCTCAATCAAATAATTCCACTGCCTGAAGATGGGAAATGTGATAATTATATATCAAGTGATATTTAGCAATTCGAAGGTTTACTATATAATGGGGTGCATAGATTTAGATATCAATCTAGTAGTCTACTTAGATATGCATAGAGAAGAGAAAATGAATTTAATCTTACAAAAACCCTGGCACTTCTTGCGGAGAATATATCAGAGAAGAGAATTAGATCCAAAAGTTTGAATTTCATCATCATTTAAGAGAAACGAAGAATAACTAAGACAAATAAATGGAAGAGGGTTGAAGTTTTAACGTTGAAATTAGAGTACTGAAGGGAAACCAACCTTACCAGTTGCATTGCAGCTACAAGAATATTTATTTATTTATTTTTTCAGGAAACTAAAAGTATAAATTAGACTGTTCAATAAGGTATGCAAGAATGTCTAAGTAGATTATAAGCTATAAAGGATATTTTAAAAAACAATAAAATAAAGATGAATTGTCTGGTATCCATCATTTTAAGACATAACAAAAGTTTTATCTCACTAGGTGATGTTGGCTATATAGATTACACATCATTGAACTTGATAAAAAACCAAATTATTAGAGATATTATTCACTGAGATTCCTTTTAATAATTTCTTCAAATGTCCTTGTCATTTTAAGACAATGATGAACTTTTAAATAAGATAATACCTTGAAACATAAGATCAGTATCAACCATATGTTTACCTTTTAAGATTATCCACAAAGTCTGGGGCCTCAGCAGTAGGTGACGTAGAACAGATTGAAAGAATTTCCGAATCAGAATAATTCAGAAGTGACAAAGCAATATGATATTGGCGAATAGTCCTAAATAAGGGGTGAAGAAGCATCAATATTCTAGAATGGAAGAGAAAGGAATTTGTGCAACAATGTAAAGACTGTCAACCAGAGAAAAATACATAATTCATTACCCAATAAGAAAACTATTTTAACCAACATGCATGCCCTAAGCACAATTTATTTTTCATTTGAACTTTACTAAAAAGAACATGTCTCTTATGTAAAAAAGAAAAAAAAAAAAAAACAGAACAAAAAAAGAAGGATGTCTGCCCACCTTTCATTTAAATTGAAAGTACATCATACTCTTAACTCACTAAAATTAACGAATATATACTCGTACATGCTCACTTTAGAGGAGTTTCTTCCTTTATTTATTATTGCATTGGGTTCATAAGTTTTTTTTCACAATCAGGGTTTGAAAATGAATTCATGAAATTTCAATTGTTACCAGCAACAAGGAGCGATTTTGAAACAGTCAGTGCTACAATCATATGTTTCGAGTAACTTCCCCCTCCAGCTGGCATCTTCATAAGAAGCAGATACTCTTATTCTTCTGACAATTTCATCTGGACATCGAGAAGTTCTATCAAAAATAGCTGGGATGATAATTCCTGTTGTAGTCTCCACCTGAAATGATGCACAGGATGTTAGAAGTCAAAGATCCCATAACAGTTTGAACACACGTGTAATTAATTATTCACCAAAAGAGTACAGCAGCTTTTGCCAAACTGTTACAACTTACAACCAAAAATGTATCACATTATTATACTTTTTAAGTACATTTTCATGATATACGTGTATGTAAATTTAAAATAGATGATACAGATACTGTCTGTTCTAACAAAAGTTTTCAATGGATACCATGATTTGTAATGATTCTGAGTAAGCGCCAAGGCATT